TTTTTAGCTGTCACTGTACTATTTTGCGTATTTGCTCAATAGACATATTGTTGGTTTCGTGTAATCAAATTAAACATTAGATTTACCACCATTACTAACGCAAAAAGTTTTATTGGTAACTTTAATAACGATGGCAATACAAGTAACATCACTGATCAATGGCAATATTAAGAAGTGCCGTTATTGAGTATTAATGAATAAAAAAATATTTAACAATGATCCTTAGTACTACGTTTCGTTAGAAAAAATAAGTATGACGATGTCTTACAAATAAATTTCATTTGTAGTACAAACTTTTTGTTAAGAAATAGTTTGTTTGTTGATGAAAATGCTTCTATTTGATAAACTTTAATCACAACACGTTTTGCTAAGACTGATAGGTTGAAACCGTATTTTGAACTTCAAATAATTTATACAAAAATTGTTGCAGCGGTGTATTTAAATTCACTATTACAATAGGTACTTCGTGTAAAGTTTTCTGGCAGTTTAACAGTTTCCTGTATCAGTAATTTTTAAGCCATTTCTTTATCAGACAATTATAGCTCAAAAGGTACTAGAAAAGATTTTGCTTGGGTAAAAACAAAAGGCGGACGGAATAGAGGTGAGAGCTGATACAAGGTAGTGAAGCCAAAAGAAACTGTTTTCAGAAGTCATAAGATTTGTCAAACTTAACGGAAAATGTTTTTAGCATGACTGATTGTAACCGATGCATGTAACAGTAATATCAGCTTAAGAGTTAAAAGTTATTGTTGAGTTATGATCAAATATTTGAAGTTCAGTTTTCTACTTTAAGTACCTTCTAGGCGCAAAGGCGGATCTTTCACAACTGTTGACTGGTGACAAGCATTCGACTATCGCTTAGTACTTGCAGCTTCTATTCCCACTTTTGTAAAATGTTGTCAATAATTTCTTGCTATATTTCACTTTATATTATTAACGAGACAACCGTTTGAAGATATGAAACTAAGCGCGTTATTTTTAAATCGTGAACTTAGCTATTTTTTCAATGCACATTTAGAAATAACTCGGCGACTGGACCGATGGGCGGCAGTGGATCGAAAGGAAAGAAGCTCCCAAAAGATGATTTGGATTTTTTGATACAAAATACGAATTTTACAGCTGCACAAATTGAAGAATGGTACAAAGGCTTTATAGTGAGTTGTTTATCTGTACTTTTATACACGCTCCTCATAATACCACCTTTTTTTTGACACTTTTCTCCTTCTTGCAAACGAAGTAGGTTCTTGACAGCTAAAGAAGTTAATTCTTCTAATTCATGATTCTTACAGAAAGACTGTCCAAAAGGTCACTTAACAAAAGAACAGTTTGTTAAAGTTTATAAAGAATTCTTCCCATCCGGAAGTGCTGAAGGTTTCTGCGAGCACGTGTTCCGAACGTTCGACACTGACAGAAGTGGTTTCATCGATTTTAAAGAATTCCTCTTAACAATCAATGTCACAAGTTCCGGCTCAGCTAAAGAAAAGCTACAATGGGCTTTCAAAATGTACGACATAAATAACGATGGCACTATCGACGAATTTGAGATGATCAAAATTATTGAGGTAATTGATAATGCTTCTCCTTTTTTTCATTTGTATGTGTATATTTTACTACATTATGTTATATATATATATATATATATATATATATAT